GTGAAACTCTCTGATGCTTCTGGCACTCTGAGCAGTGGTGATGCACACCATAATTTTCCATGGTGTCTTGTACCTCTGCCCAGTAAGTGGAAAAAAAACCTGGAAAGGGTAAAAAGGTTCCACACAGCAACTGAATTGTAATGATAAATGTGAGCATATTCTCAGGCACAAAATTGTTCAGTACTCTCTGTGCTGTTTTCTACCAGAAGGGATTGTTACCTGGAGAAAAACTTCAGGAAAAACAGAAAAAAAAAAATCTGCATGTTTTCTTTTCTTTGGAGGGAGAGTGTATGTGTGGTGGTTTTCTCTTTTTTTACACTGATGTATTTCACAAATGTTCCTTCACTACATACTTTCAGCTGGTGAAAGTTATTTTTCCTCTGGGTCCAAAAAAGTTTCAAGTAGACCCTGAATTAAAACTATGAGAAAATCACCACTGCAAAACTGGAATTTTAAAACCAATGTTTTTGCAAAGAAGAAAAATAAGTGTGTGTGCCCTTTGGCTGATCTGTAACCACAGCATGGTCTTTTCAGCATTCCTTTTCTTAACATGCAAAATATTTTCCAAACTTCCATCCTGTTTTTTTAGGAACTGTGTCAGACTGCATGCAGCTTCTGAAACCAAGGCAGTAACAGTGTGGCACTATAAAACTTGCATATTCTATTTCATTGAAAGTATATAATGGCCAGATGATATATCCTGAGTACACAGGAAAATTAAGTGAATTAAGCAGAGCTGATGATAAACGTGTTGATCTCACTGTCTGAAGACCCACTGCTTTAGTCCTGCTCTTTCCCTTGGTTCTCTTATCAGATATCTTACATGCTTAAAGATTTGTTCCTGACTAATGTTTCTCAGCTGACCTTATGGAAAAGACCCAAACCAACCCAAACAACTTGGGGAAGATTTAAATGTTACACTCGAGCTGTGAGTTTGCCCTTATTTCTGTACCTTTAGGGGGATTGTGCCTGGCTTTATGGCTGGCTCTGACTGCCCTAGCACAGAATGTTAAAAGTGCAGATTGGCAGTGCAGCTCTGTTACTGCAGTGGTACACACTGAGATCATGCTGCTCTTACCTTACTTGATAAATAATAATACTCTGAAGACTGCTGTACTGACCAAGACCAAACAAAAAAATGTATGAGGGTGAGGAGACTGTAATAACTGAGTTCAGTCTCTGTGACACCCAAGGAAGCTCCCACGGCAGTGGAACCACTCCCTTTGCTAGCAACTGGTTAAATGGGTGAGGTTTTTACTGCCATCTACTGTGCAAATGCTTCAAGCCAGAGGGAAATAAAAATCCTGTCTCTTGGTTCTCAAATAAACAAAATTGCTTTTGAAAAGAGAGAGAAAAACGAAATTGTTTCTGAAAAGAGACGGAAAGCAGAGCTTGATTTCTCTCTACATCTAATATTCTCTTTATTTATCTTATTTTCTAATTCAGAAATAATTTGGGTCTTTTATTTCCTTCCTGTGCTGAGAGTAGAAACATCAGGTTTGATCAAGGTAATTGTTATCCCTTCACTCTTTGCATTTTCCATCAACATAAATTTTCCACATATCAATGTACACATAGATAATATTTTTTAATTGCTGTTTTCCTATTTTTCTTCATTTTATCTAGTACAAATACAAGTTACAGTCCTTTTTGACAACTTTAACTCTTGTCTGTTAATTGTTTTCCATTAGATTCAACACTTTTAGAGACAGAAATCTTTACAGAAGTTAGTCTTTAATTAGTAGAATCCAGCTGGAATAATGGGAATTCATTGGATTAATGGACCATTTCATTGTTTCACAATAAATCCAAAAATGAAAACAAAGCAGCTTCCTTACACTACTACATTCTTCATTTTTAAGAGCCCTTTCCTACATTCATCCTACAAGCTTCAGTCTGGGTCTGTGGCAGTTGCAAATGGTATTTAATAATATGAAAGAGCAGAGATGGGCGCGTGATTTCAGGTCTGCCCAGCCCTTTATCAGGGGAATACTGATACTAATCACTTGTTTTCTATCTTTCAAACCTTACATGTTGTTTGTTAAAAACATTACCCATTTTTTCAGTGGAGGGGTTACATTTAGGGGCGTGTCACTGCAGAGTTTGTCAGTGAACTAGAAAAGCAAATGAGATCATGATAGCAAAAATAATGTGATCAAAGTCCAGACCTACAAGCAGGAACAGCCATAATAACATCTGTTATTATTGCTGAGACGTCAGAATCCACGAAAGCATTTGCAGAAATGCAGGAGGACTGACAGAAGTCATTAAGTTGTTTTCAAAATTCCTGATCTCTTTTTTTGCCCCGAGAGTCATGTTTTAGGAAATGTTGATGAAGCCTCACAGTTTGCAGTTGCCTGATGTTTCCACAAGCTGGTGACCATCAGCAGCAGGGCACCTTTTGCTGGTGGGCTCCAGCACTGCAGAACAGCACAGAAGCTGCTGCCACCTTCCTGTGCTTCCCCAGCTCACTTCATCACAGTGCTATGAAAAAGCCAGCGAATGCTGTGGCATGCAACTGCAGAGCAAGATAACTGGGAAGAGACAGCAGCACTGTGTTTGAAGATCTTGTATTATTGGGCATTTGGTGTTTGTCTTAGAGGCTGTAAAACCTTAAGGGATTCTTGATGGTGAGACTCCAGAACTGGGCCCAAGTGGAGGAGAGTGAGCACAGCCCTGCCTTGTTGAGAGACCCATTGTCTCACACCATTCTTTATCATCTGAGTAAGGCATATCTCAACACAAATCCAGCAAGTATAGCCTGGCAAGGAGCGGGAGAAAAATCAGTTAGTCTAGTACTTAACCAAACATGTGGAGATTTTTCCACCATGCCAGATGGGGTGTCCAGATTGACTTTCCTGGTTATGTTACATAAAGATGAGACTCTCTGCCTGTACTTCTGAGTCACTGATGGACAAGAATGAAAGAAAAACATTGTCTTTTTTGTCAAATTATAATTGGATCAGCCCAGTGCTTGCTGTCCTCATTTTCTATTGCTGTCAGAAGAAAAAGAGTAGAAAATCCTCAAAACATTGTAAGCCTGATAGCTCAAGTCAAAGTTAGCAAACCCAGCAGTTTAGAGGAAGATAAAGCAGATAGCAGTAGGCCAAGTTGTGCTACTGGATTTAGCACAAAGCTCTTCATTAAGGCAAACAGAAAAATGACAAGCTCTGTTTCTGGCCTATTCAAAAGTGTGATGTCAAAGAGTGTTCATGCTGAGCGGGTTAATGTAGGAATGCAGAGAATCCTGCTGCAAAATGCTTCCAGAGACAGTTTGACACTGTGAAAATGAGTTACAAGAAAGTAAATACATCATCTTGTACCAGCTGGGTATGAAGCTGTACTGTGATAAGCAGTGGAATTTTATTGAGAAAATACTAATGAGCAATAAATGTCTCCAGTGAGCATCTGGTCTGCATTTGACTTTACACATGGAAGCTATTTGGCCCAACTTTCTGCCAGATCCTGCCATTTTTGAGATCACTGGACATGAAGAAGGTTGAAATCCCTAGGTTAGCATCTCAAAGAAGTGAGCCATGCTTGTAAGCAGAAGTGGGGAGTCTGTCCTAGAACTCTGTATTTGCCAGCTGTGCCATCCACTCTTCTAGGCTGAAACATGACGCTACAGCCAGTGCTGGAAGATTAGGCTGCTCTAAGTAATTCCTGACAAACCTAGTTCAAATATGGTCATCTTGCAGCTAAGAGGTTTCATCTGGGTGTTAGCCTAACTTCTGCCTGGCATATGTTTAACAGCAAGCTTTTTTCATTTGATTCTGCAAACATTTGCTGGCGAGTGCAGAGTTAAGTAATTACTTTGTGACTTCAAGTATTCTTCACCTTCTCTGCCTTTTTCTTATGCATCAGAGCAATGGAAGTGTTGATTAACACAAGGTTATTTTATCAGAGCCACATTGGTGCTGGCAGGAGCTACAACCTCACCTCCATCAGGAGGAAGGGTGAGTGGTGCTGAGCCTGCTGAGGCTCTGCTTCAAAAACCTTTATTTTCAAAGCATAAGGCCTTGGGGAGGATTCACAGGGTTTTGGCTCATTTTGCCAAGCATCACCTGTGGATGCAGCTTGTGGCTTTTGGTGGTTAACTAAAGGAGCCAGGTCCAAGTCCCCTGTGCTTGGCACTGGTGAGGCCACCTCTCAAGTGCTGTGTCCAGTTCTGTGCCCTTCAAGACAAGAGGACACTGAGGTGCTACAGTGGGTCCTAAGAAGGACAAGGGATGGGCAAAGGTCTGGAGCACAAGTTTGATGAGATGAGGGAGCTGGGGGTGTTTAACCTGAAGAAAAGGAGATTCTGGGGAGATTTTATTGCTCTCTAGAACTCCCTACACCAGGAGGGTGTAGCCGGCTGGGGGTTGGAATTTACTTCCACACAAGTGACAGGATGAGAGGACACAGTCTTAAGCTATGCCAGGGGAGGTTTAGGATGGGCACTAGGAAGAATTTTTTCACAGAAAGAGTGACATTGGAATGGGCTCTGACCAGGAAGGTGTTGGGAGTCACCGACCCTGGAGATGCTCAAGGAAAGGCTGGGCGCTGCACTTGGTGCCGTGGTCCATTTGCTGCGGTGCTGCTCGGTGGTCACGGGCTGGACTCTGGCTGATCCCAGAGCTCTTTTCCAGCCTCATCGTTCCTGTGATTCCGCTTCCCTCCCTGGCCGAGTTTTTCACTGAAAGAGTGACATTGGAATGGGCTCTGACCAGGAAGGTGTTGGGAGTCACCGACCCTGGAGATGCTCAAGGAAAGGCTGGGCGCTGCACTTGGTGCCGTGGTCCATTTGCTGCGGTGCTGCTCGGTGGTCACGGGCTGGACTCTGGCTGATCCCAGAGCTCTTTTCCAGCCTCATCGTTCCTGTGATTCCCCTTCCCTCCCTGGCCGGCCAGTCGTGCCGAACCGCGGGGAAGCGGCCCGTGTGTCCCGCTTGCAGCCTGCGGGGACGGCGGATCCCGTCCCGCCCGAGCCCGTCCCTCCGGATCCCGTCCCGCCCGAGCGGCGGGCGGCGGCTCCCGGGCGGCTCCCCGCGGCCCGCAGGGGCTGGGGGCTGGCGCTGGGGCTGGCTCTGGGCGTTCGGGCGGCGCCGGAGGGAGGCGAGGCTGAGAGCGGGCGGGAGGAGAAGCCGCCCTCTCCGCGGGGCTTCGGCGCGGCCGTGGAGAGGAGCAGGGACCTGGTGCGGAGGATCAAGGTGCTGAGGGGGCACCGCGGGAGGCTGCGGGTGCTGGCGCAGCTCAGGCCAGCTCGGTACAGGGGTGTACGGAAGTGGGCACAGTACGGGGTATCTGAGAGCCAGGGGGGCCTTAAAGGCTGTGGGAAGGAGAGGCAGGAGCCGTCCGAGGGCACTCGGCTCAGCCTGGAGGAGAGACCTCACTGCGGGCTGCAGCTGCCTCATGAGGGGAGGCGCGGGGGCAGGCACCGATCTCTGCGTTTCTGTGACTAGGGAATACCAGGAAACTATGCCAGGAGAAGTTTAGGTGGGTTTTAGGAAAAGTTTTTTACTTAGAGGGTGGTCAGGCACTGAACAGGCTCCCCAGGTAAGCGGTCGCTGCTCGCAAGCCTGGCAGGGTGGGATTGTTGGAGCTCTCCTTGCAGGGCCAGGAGCTGGCCTCTAACATCCTTGTGGGTCCCTTCCGACTCAGGATATTCTGTGATTCTGTTTAAAAAGCACGTTGTAGTTACTTCGAAAATCCAGCTGAAGCTTTTTGAAATCTTGCCTGCCCAGTAGGTGATGCAGTTTGCCGGTTGCATATTGACTGTCATGTTTTGTTTCTTTTGCTTGTTCCATCCAGTAATTTAACTGAATTATTAAAGCAAAAATATTACCTTGCTATTCTTGTTAGGTATGTTTTTCCCAATAGCTGAGTTAAAATGTCAGCTTTGCAAAAGCAGCTTTGCAGCAGTTCAACCAAACTGGTACATAACAAAATTTCAACTATAATTTGACAACAATAAGCAGGTTTATTTGTAGGGTTTTTGTAGCTTTTTCAGTTCAAGGGCTTGGGAGGAGGTGTTTTTTAATTTAAATATCCTTCTAAATGTCTTCTCTCCATTTTGTTTTTTTGCAGGATGAAGCAGGAATCCCTGGTATATTAGTTGGAGTTTCTGTAGATGGAAAGGAAGTCTGGTCAGAAGGTCAGTATATGGGAGTAGTAGGTGTGCATAGTGTCAAGAACTGATGAACATTTCAAAAATTAACAATTCAGACAAGTTAATCAGGCTGGGATTTTGTCTGCCTGATGTCCCATCTCTGTACAGCAGCCAGAAATGGATGCTTAGGAAGTATCAAATGACACCTTCCTTGGTAAACTTCAATAATTTCCATGAATTTATAATTTGTTAACTTTCTGAATATGCTAGTATGTCTCTGCAGTTAGATTGGAGAACCTTTCTTGCATTAATTTTTCAGATTAACCTTTGAACGTACTCAGGGCACAGAGCTGAACAGTGCTCTGGTGGCACTGTGTGTAGGAGGTAAAGAACTGTTCTCCCCACAGGAACTTCCTTAGCAGTCAAAGGAACAAGGGCTCACATTTGGTGACCTGCCTCCTGTTTGTGGGCTGAGCTGTAGCTTTACTGGGAAGGTACTGGGATTTATCAGGCATTATCCTTTCAGAAAGGTGTTTTTACTGAGGGGAATGCATCTGCATTAACAACCACCAGGCACTTGAGTAGCAGCTATAAAGAGAAAGGGTCCTGGGCAAATGGCATGTCATATGTTTTACTTCTTGTACTTTGTCAAGGTTTGGGGTTTTATTTCCTGAGCAGTTCATTGTTAGACTACAGTTTTATAGAGACAGAGGTGTGTTGCCTGCAGGCCTTTCTTGTACTGCAAACTGCAAATATGTCATTGCTGAATTTTCTTGCTTTCATGCTGCAACATCAGGTGCACTTTCTTCAAACCTCACTCAAACTGAAGGCTAGTTTGGCAGCTCGATAATGCCTTATTAATTCCAGTTCTTGCTACCAGACTTGTGGCTTAGTTACAAAGGAAAACACTGTTACAGAGACTGTTAAGTTGTATTTTAATTGAAGTCATGCTGAGTGATGTTGAAACATAGTAACACCTCCGTTCTGTGAAACCTTACCGCTTTTGTAATTGGTGTGCATTTGTGGGTGATTTCCTCTCTCAGTTTCTGTTTTGATAAAATAAGACCCTTTTTTCTCCTTCAGCCATTAATTCAGAACAGTAAAAGGAGTGTTTATGACTGTTGGTCAGTTACTTTATGGTCTAGATTTTGGTCTCTTGGGGTTTTCTACACTGAAAATTTGACCTCAGGAGTGTAAATTTTGGCTTAATTTTAATCTCATTTATCATTATGTTTGTTGTAGTCTTAATCAGCAACTTGAGATGCCTTTGTGTAACCCAATGGGCCCTGATTAACTGCTGCTACTACAGTAAAATGTTATTGACTGAACTGAAGCAGGGGCTGGGACACTCCAATGCTTCGTATCCCAGTTTATCTGGAGGAAAAATATTTCAAAGAGCCAGCAAATCGAATTGATTGCATGTAATGAATTCAGCATGTCTCTGTGCAAAGGCCTCAGCAGAGTGTTTTTATTTCTGGCAGGTTTGGGCTATGCTGACGTGGAGAACCGCGTGGTGTGCAAGCCAGAGACCATCATGCGCATCGCCAGCATCAGCAAGTGCCTCACAATGATGGCTGTTGCCAAACTCTGGGAAGAGGGGAAGCTCGATTTAGATGCCCCAGTGCAGAAATATGTCCCTGAATTTCCAGAAAAAGTCTACGAGGGTGAAAAGGTATGTAATTGTTTATTGGTAAGAGTTTTTAAAGTTTTTGGTCCTGTCACTACATAGCTGTGTACAGGTGCCTGATTTGCACCTATTCCTACAAAACACTCAAAATCATTTAGACAAGTTCTGGTGTTTCTTGCTCAGAAAAGCATATTTGTATCTTTACTTTTATATCAAGTGTGTAGTCCACATATATATATATATAAAAAAATATATATAATACTGTATTTAATATGTGATATTTAAAAGGTCCTGCACCTTTATCTCTTCTTTGTCATGGTGAATTTTACTTTGTTGCTGATTTATTGTTTGTCTTTTAATGAAGAGAGCTCACATTATCCTGTCTACCTAGGTCACTATTACCACAAGACAGTTAGTTTCACACTTGAGTGGGATTCGTCACTATGAAAAAGATATTACAAAAGTAAAAGAAGAAAAGGAAAAGGCAAACAGAGCACTTAAGCTAACCAAATCCCATCAGGATAAAGAACAAAAAGCAAAAGAAGGTAAAGGGACTGAAAACACTGATTGTGGCAAACAGAAGAAAGAACATGATAGTGAGACAAAGAGCCGAAGTTCAAAGCCTGGCAGGAACGACAAGGAGTTTGACCAGGAAGAGTATTATTTGAAGGAAAAATTTGAAAGTGTGATTGAGTCACTGAAGATATTTAAAAATGATCCCTTATTCTTTAAACCAGGTGAGTTTCTATTAATGTAGACCAAAATATGCTGCTCTGGTGAGAGTTTTGTTTCAAACAGTTTTATATGTAATGATGATAGTAGAGTCCAGGGAAGAGTGTTTGTGTGGGGGTTTTGGTTTGTTCTGCTTCTCTCCCTTTTTTTTCTTTTCTTCACGTGCCCCATTAAAAGCTCAACAGAGAAGTATTTGGTGTGTTCTGCACAAACCACCTGGTCATGTAATATTTATGTATAAGATTTTTCTCCCAGGAGCAGTAAGTAATGCACTAAGTGCTCTGAAGCATACCAGTGGATTTATAAATGCTGAAGAAGAAGATAATTCTGGTAACAAATTTGTATCTACAAAGTATTTTGTAAGCAAATACCAACTTGCTGTAGTCATGTTCTGGGCCTTCTAGATAGGAACCAAAAGCAAAAAATTTTACTGAGGCACTAAATCAGACCTAAAAAAAAGCTACAAAAACCCCATAGGATCACAGAATTACTGAAGTAATTTATTTTTGGGATTATTTAAATTAGGTCTAGAGAGGACTTTGAGGAACTTCAAGTGTAAGTTTTAAACTACTTAGGTTAAGGTAAATGACATGCATTGCTGATAAACAGTAAAAAATGTGCATTTAAGGGGAGAGGGGTAGAAGAAGGGTGAAGTTAAACACTCACCATCTTGTAGAGCTCACTTCAAATAAGAGATCTGTCTCAACTGTAGGCACTTTAGCAGTTGCTCAATATGTAAATGTTTCATAGAAAGCATTAGCACAAGGATGAGCTTTTAAAAAATGAAATGTTGTTTTGTAAATAAATTCTGTTGTCTTAAATAATGCTTGTGTTCATATAATCTTTTGGGATATTCTAGAAATAGAAACACTGTGCTAAAAGTCATGAATGCCCTTGAAAAATGTGAGTATTGCTGTTGTTTTCCCTTCTCCAGGGTATGGACACACAAGTCACAGTAGCTGAGCATCTTTTAAGCAGTAATTTTATGGCTTGTGTCAGCTTTCCAAATCCAGACATCCTTGTTAGACCTGATGTGGTAAATCTCCTGGAAAGGATGTTAAATGTCAGTGTTGACACCTTGGCATGAAACCTGACTGTACACACAGATCCCTGGAAGATTTTAGTGCTGTTCTCTCAGCAGGATGTGTGTCTGCTGCAGTACAGAAGTTCCTAGGCCTAGCATCAACAATGGTTGATTATTAATTGCTATAAATAGTTTTATTTGCATGTATGATTCCATTTAAGTATCATGCAATTAACTTGGGGTTTTCCCTTTCTCACTGTGTTTCTTCAAGGCAGTCAGTTCTTGTACTCAACGTACGGCTTTACTCTCTTAAGTGCTGTGGTGGAGAGAGCTTCAGGACAGAAATTTACAGATTATATGCTGAAAATGTTTCGAGATTTGGATATGCTGTCAACTGTCCTAGATGACAATGAAGCAATGATATATAACAGAGCAAGGTAAACAGGGGTGGAACTCTTATTTTTTCCACTACAACTGTTGCCCTTTTTATCTTAATTAAGACAGTTGAATTAAGAATGTGTGATTTTTATTTTCCCAGACATTTAAATGAAGTGTTGTATGTTACCTCAACATTACTCATGTAGCTAGTTCCAATGCCATGGTATAGGTTTTGTAATTACCATATAAAATTACAGAAAAAGAAATAAATATTTCCTGTTCTAAGTGTGAATGTGGGAGGTGAAGGGAGTAATAGGGGTGACTTCAAAGTTTACATTTACTTTGGGTACAAGTAAGCACATAAATGCAAATAAAATAAAGAGTAACAAGGAAATTATGTTGGAATATATAATTACCTTAGTTTGCTTAATATACTGGCATTTAAAGGGTTCCAAGGAATTGTAATAGTCTCACAGTAACCCAAGGTTTTCAGAAATCAAATTGCTGTATGAATGTTGACCAGAATTAAAATTCTGTTTAACATCAATTTATTTTAAAAATTAATTTAACATAGGGAAGAAAAAAACCAACACAACCAATACCCCCCACCCCCCTACTCCTACAAAAACAAAACAACAAAGAGAGAGAAATTTATGTAACTGGATAATCCATTCCAATACAGTGGATCAGGCTAGGGTTTCTTGTCTTATTTTCTTGAATTTCCTGCCTGGGCTCAGAAATTGATTATTGACTCCCCTGTTAAATTTTGTTGTGGGACAAGAATTCTGTTGAATGACAGAGTAGGTTTTAGTGACAGCCTCATGAAAATGAGACTCAGACTTCTTAAAAGTTTGGCTTCAAAAATGTCCTCAAAGAGCAATGAACGTGTTGAAGCTGAGTTTTAGACTAAGTACAGGCATATATTGCAACTGTGTGTGCACAGCTTCACTGCCCTATTCTAAGATGCTTTGTGCTGGTGCTCAGTTTGCTTGCAAAATTTCAGAGGCTCTCTGGCTGTAGGATCAGAGGCTCATCTGGATGATAGTGATGTTCTCATAAATTATCAACTTTGTACAGTCAAGGTTTTTTAGAACATGTTCTTCCCTTTATAAACTGAAATATGGGAGGGATCAAAGAATAGGGAGAGATGCTCTTCTCGGAGTGTTTTTATAGGTACTTACTGTCAAGCAAAACTGAGATCCTGATGGGTTTGCTTCCACAAATTGGAGCTTGATGCCTCAAAATAGAATGTATTGACATGTTGAGGTTTGTTTAATGGCTTGGTTATACTATATCGGTCTAACAGGAAAGTGCTTAAAAATCTGTGCTCTAGACCTTTTAGCAGTATAAGTCAATGTCTTTGTAACAGGGTTTTCTGTGATCAAAAAGCTCATTATGGGGACAACAGGATACTAAATCACTGTCAGAGTTGATGGTAGTCTTGCATCCTGGACCATTCATCATTCTTCCTTTGTTTCAACCTCTGACTTCCAGTGTTATAAGTTATTCAGAAGTTTGCTAGAAAGCTTTCCAATACAAGTGCCATCTATGTAGGGCTCTTCCTTTTCATAACTCTCCATGGACCTTATTTGGTCTAAACACCAGAGGTTGAAATTCCTTGGGTTATACATTTAGTCCACGCGTCCTTTTCATATGATGTATGAAATTAATCAAATTATGATTGGACTTTTTCTTTCAAGACTCGTCCCCTCACACATGGATGGTTCGCCACAACAGCCTGATCTCTTTAAATACAATATACAAGTAAGAGATGTGACAGAGATATGCTTAGTATATCCTAAGATTAAGCAGAAGGATTAGTACTTTTATTAAAGTTCAGCTTCTGTCCTAAGAAGTCACCTTAATTTTTGTTTTTCTGTCTGAATTACTTGTTGGCTTTTCTGCAATAAATATATTTCAAAAATATGTTTTAAAAACCCTCTAAATGTTCACAAGAACAAGCTAACACAAGCTCAGTTTGCTCTTTTAAGGTAGGGCAGCTTAAAATCATGGTGCATAGTCCATGAAAATGACAAGTTGAATTTTCTTGCATTTTAGGTGTTACATTTACAACAAAAAGGGACGGCTGGTAAACGCACCGTATGTGGACAACTCTTACAAGTGGGCTGGTGGTGGCTTCCTGTCATCAGTAGGTGACCTCCTGAAATTTGGAAATGCCTTGTTGTACAGTTACCAAGCCGGACAATTTAAAAACAAGAACACCAAACTTCTTCCAGGGTACCTCAAGCCAAGCACAGTGGCAATGATGTGGACTCCAGTGCCAAAAACAGAAGTGTCATGGGACAGGGATGGTAAATACGCCATGGCTTGGGCTGTGGTAGAGAAAAACCAACAGTGTGGCTGCTGCAGGCAGCAGAGGCACTATGCATCTCACACCGGGGGCGCCGTGGGGGCCAGCAGTGTCCTCCTCATCCTGCCTGAAGAGCTGGACCCTGAAGCTGTGGGTGCTTGGCCAGTGGCACCCCCCAGAGGTGTCATTGTCTCCATTATCTGTAACATGCAGTCGGTGTCGCTCAACAGCACCGCCTTAAAGATCGCAAGGGAATTCGACAAAGAGAAACGGCAACAGTCTGTGGGCTGAGAGATGGGAGGGACTGAACCCACTGGGCTGACAAACAAAGGGACAAGGGTGTAACTGCACTTCAAGTTCACTAAGAATATGGGAAGAAAATGCATAAATAATTCACTTAATCTCTGCTAGTGGTGCTAAACTTACATCTAACTGGAATTCATCTCTCAGGGAAGTTCCTAACTTACAGAAAATGAGAATGTAACAGTCTAAGGTGACTTTCTGTAGCACCTGTAAATGATCATTATATTTAGCAGGTTATTTTTACCAACTAGTGAAACACTTGACCAAGATAAAAAAATAGCCTTTTTTTTTTGCACTAAGTGCAAATTATCTACCTTGAATGTTAAACTTTTGAAAAATTTCACATCTTGATTTTAGCACACCAATATGTTGCTTGTTATTCTCACAGTTCCAGTCTGCTACAAATATTCAGTATTACTTTTTAAACAAAAATTGTGTCACCATTGTTTTTTGTTTTCACATACCACTTCCCTTACTTGCTTAAAAAACCAACAAAATCCAAACCTTGAAGCTACCTCCAGAATGCAGATTTATACCCAGAAGCAGGCTTTTATCAGACCTGTGGATTAAGAACTAGAAAAGAATAATCTAGACCAATGTAAAGTAAATTCAAATGTAAAGTAAAATTCTTTTCATTTTTTAGATATTCTCTCATCCATTTTTATTGGACACAGAGAATGTGTAGAATTAGTTTACTGTGCAGTAAAGGTATTATTTCTAGATTCAAATCCACCCAAATAGCACAATGTGCAAGGTGTCCAACTGTCCCATTGTTTTTGAGTGATATACACTTGGTAGCCAGAAATGGCACTGTGCTCTGTAGCCTGGCTACTCCCTTGTAAACAGGAATTAGGAACTCAAATAGCTCAATACAGCTCAAAGTCCATGCTTGAAGCCAGGAGTAGAAGTTTCACCAAGCAAACACGGCCATGGCAGCTGGAGCACAGCTCAAAGTGCTGCGTCCAGGGGTGGGGACACCACCAGCTCTGTGGGCAGCTCCTTCCAATGCCTGGTCACCCTCTCTGTAAAGAAATTCTTCCTGTTGTTCAACCTGATCCTCACCTGGTGCAGGTTGAGGCCATGTCCTCTTGTCCTTTCACTTGTTCCCTGTGAGAAGAGGCTGATCCCCGCTGGCTCCAGCCTTCTGTCAGGAGTTGTAGAGTGATAAGGTCACCCCTTTGCTCCAGACTCCTTCAGCTTCTTGTCAGACTTGTGCTCCCAGAGAAAGAAAGAATGGTGACTGCCTTTCTCTGGACATGCTCCAGCTCCTCAATGCCTTTCTTGAAGTGAGGGGCCCAGAACTGGACACGAGACTAGAGGTGTGAGATTTTCTAATTATCAGTTTCACAATGGGAATAAAGTAGCATCTGAAGTGTCCATTTTATGTATTTCACAATGGCATGGAAGATCTCTGTCATCTCAAAGATTTACCCCCAGCTCACTTCCCCTGCAGTTATATCAGACAGTACTTCCAGCCTGAGACAAAACAGAAATATCTTTCAGGAAAGGTTCCTGCACTGCTCAGCAGTTCTGCTGCTCTGAATTTAAGGAGTAAGGTGTCTTGGTTAGCAGGTAGGAGAAGATAACCCTACCTGCCTCTTTCCCAAACTAATACTTTTGGTGTTATCCTCACAGTTGTCACCTGCCCTGTCACCAAGAAACCGGGAAATTCAGTATTTTGAGGGATCAGTGTTTTACCTACATTTAAATTGGAGCTAATAAGACTAGTTTAGTATATTCTTCATAATTACAATCATTATTGTACCTTAAAAAATGTTTGCTTGGGGTTTCTGGCGCACTCACCAAAATTTCACTTCTTTATTCATTAAGAATGTATTGTCTTTATTGCAAGAGTATCCAATAATTTCATCTTCTAGCACCTGGAAGAAAATGGGTCCCTTACAGTCTCTGCTTTGATGTTAAATTAATCATGAGTTCTTATCTTTTCGGGTAGAGAAGGCAGAGATATGACAGTCTAGGAATCAATCTGGCCTTAGCACATGTATTCAGGTTACAATTAATATTGCTACTTTGAACTTTGTTCTAAAACCAGTAATTTGATGGGCTGGCATTGTACATGAGAAACTAACTAGACCATGTCTGGTCAATTAAGAGCAGCTTTCATGATAAACTTACTTGTGAGTGAACCTTTCTTGTGAGTGGCACTGACATAAGCCCCTATTTTTCTTAGAAGGCTTGTGTATTCCATTGGTACACCTGTTTCTGTATCAAACACCTCCTTCTGCATATGGTATTTACATGTTTGCTGTTTGAAATAACAGAAATAAAACCTACCTTGCAAATGCAACCAATTGTAGCATCAGGTTTTTGGTTTATTTTATTGACTAGACATGTACAGTTTTTCAAAGTCATAAAAAGAATATTAGCTAGTTAGAAAATTCCAATAATAATTAGCTCACCAAGACACCTGATACTTTTAAAGAGCTGTTGATACATAACTTGAGATATTATTTAATAAAGTAAGATATATGTAAAATTTTGTTTTAATATTTTCTCATGATTAAAAACATTTTACCAGCCATTTAGAAAGACATGGCTTTCAAAAACTCATTAAACAATTTTCCTTATTGCAAGAAGGCAATTACTTAATGCCAGTATTTAATACTAACAATAAGCATGGGTTTGCTGCACTAGTTCCTAGATACCATTCTCACCTCTTAGTGTAGTTCCATGACTTACTATTGCTTGTATGCCAGCTGCCTTCTCTATGCTGCATGTTTTCAGTGCTTTGCAAAGGACTACTTTTGTTTTGGGTTTTTGTTTTTTTTTATAGACATCTCAGTTTGGAACACTATTGCTTGTATGCCAGCTGCCTTCTCTATGCTGCATGTTTTCAGTGCTTTGCAAAGGACTACTTTTGTTTTGGGTTTTTTTTTTTTATAGACATCTCAGTTTAGAATACCAAGTGCAGTCTCAATATCAAATTAGCAGGAGGGAAAATCCATGCATTCCAGAGAAACAGCTGAACAGAGATGAGTAACTTTTCATTTTTATTTATCACCAAATTACCCAAGAGAGGGGAGGGACTACAGCAACATTGAAAGCAAATGAGCCATTTAAAAGCTTATCTAGCTTCTGCAAGCCTTGCGGTTATGGTAGCTGCAGTAATAAAATACACAAAATGCACTTTTAAAGCAGTTTCTGTCACTATATGCATTACACTGCTAGTTTATGATTAGCAAGGCAAGGATGCAGGAAGTCCAAGGTTTTTACTGTTCACACAAACTTATAAAAATAGAGCTCGGTTGTCTGCAAACTTACAGGAAGAGCTTGCACTTCAGATCATTTATTGAAAAAGAGATTCCAGCAGATTAGTCAGCTGTAGCATGTAATTTGTACAAAATCAATCATAATTACATTGTTGTTGTAACAGGCATTTTTAAACTGGTAAGGCTTTCAGGAACACAGATCCAAAAATCACATGCTGAACTGTTCAGTGTTGCTTTCTTCTAAATGAACAGCCTGCAAAGAAATCACGTGAGTAGAGATATGAATAGTCCTTAAATGGTTAGACTGCCTTGAAAAATTACCCATCCAATGTAAGTAGAAAAAATAATGGATTAAATTTAAATTTCATGTACTATAAGAGGTGAAAATTTAACATTGTAGGTCTTCTCTAGCTCAACCTGAACAAAATGGCTGTCATGCAATTCATCTTAAAATAAGATTAAAATGTACTATTTATTTTCTTCCAGTGCATTTTAAAATTTCAGTCTACTGTTCCATCCTTTAGTGATACAAACCCCAAACTGAAACAGCTGCAGAGTGTGTTGTTACCATTTCAACTGCTCCACAGCCTCACTTCAGGTGTTCTCTCCTCATGTTTACCACCCCTGTGTAGCAGCACTTTATATAAACACTGCTATGTGTCATTTGTATGCATGCTTACCTTTTGCCCTATAAACAAGAAATTAATAAAATCTAGATTAATTTTTACATTTTTTTAAATCCTAAAATGTTTCCAGTGCTTTTCACATGTCCCAGAATTGGGCTGCACTCAAAGATACTGGTGTTATACCAGTTGCCTGTACATACATTATTGGTGGTTATTTGTTCCCTTATAATTGATATTAAACAAATGTTCTTTGAGCCAGGGAACTGCTTTACAGTAGGGCTGTTTAAAAACAAACAGGCAAGCCATTAGTGACTAGCAGTGGCACAGAATTACTTTAGCCTGGCAAAAGTACCCTACTCCTTTGATGGTGCTTTTTAAAACTTTAAACACAGCTCAGAGTTAAACAGCAGTATTCATTACACAGGCTGAAGGGAATGACAATTCACCTAAAATGAAGTGTGTTTGATGACAATGTAGGTGTTTAGCTCCCTGGCAGAGCTGTATAGCCATATAAAAACATAGAATCTGAAGAAAAATTCACAATTCTGGGCCTATTAACAATGTTTCTACCAGCCAACTCTAAGCAATTTGCAAAATCAGTGTTCCAGTATCAGTTTCTAAAATCCAAGCTGAAATATTTGCAAGCTATAAAATGCCTTTATAAAAGTGGCATATTTAGGTTGTGTAACGCTGCCCTTACCTTCTGTGAGCCTGGCTTTGCCCCCAGTTGGCTGGCACAGGACAGTTGAGCACCCTACACACAGAACTACTGTCTGAGCATGGCTGAAGACAGTGGTGATCTTGTAGCATCCTGAAAAACAACATTATGAAACTTCCCTCTGGGTATTTCTAGCATCATTTTTAATGTGTTAATTGCATCAGGTACTCCAAATACACTTGTCCAAAATGCATCTATATTTCCTTAGACAACACACCAAGCCAAACTCAGCAAGCCATTGCTGTGTTCTGAAGTGCTTGCCTTTACTTACATGCATAGAAAAGCAAGTTAGGTAACAGGAACTGGTTTGATTCCCACATGAAAATCAACAGACCCTGCTGGCTGACAAGCCCTAATTTGCCTATCACATCTCTTGTAAAGAAGTTCAGCAGCTCCAGATTAGCCTCCTGTGCTGAACAGAGGAACCCATGTAGCTGGAGAAATATTTAACTTGTAACAGTAGAACACTGCTGTTGACCAAGTCTGAAAGCTGGGAATATAAACACTGCTGTTCCAATCTGTGTTTGCTTTCTGTTTAATAATTGGTACATGTAAGGCTTGGTTGCATTCTATAAAACTAACATAATATTTAAATGGAAAGACTTGCACAGAAAAATTTCACTAATTCCCTATACAATGCTTTTGTCTACAACTTATACATTCTATGATTTAAGAAAGGATGAGATCACTCATACATGGCTTAGAAATGAGATTTTCACTGCTTTTAAATTTTTTCCCCTGGAAAGTATTTTTAATTAGCCAAGTGGTATTTTTGGAGGGCGAAAACCTGTAAAGGATTTTATCTGGATGTGGACATACAAAATAAATAGGTAAAGGTGAGCAGAGATTGCATTTTCAGCACGTGTGGATCAGAAAGCTAAGACAGACTACATGCTGTGAGCAGGGTCCTGTGACTAAAGGTCTGCTTGGCAGGGAGAAGTACTATTAGACAAAATAACAGATCTCTGTTTAAATCACAAAGAGCAACTGTACAAATCTTTGTGAAAAACTGCTAAAAGCCAACATTTAATCACAGCAAACTTTGTTTTTCCCCTATTGAAGCTGAACTTCCATGTTGATGAGTTTTTAATGTTTGTGGGTTGGCAGGGAAATGAGCCCAGCCCATCTGAGTACCAAGGTAGGAGCCTCCAGTTCCACTGACCTAGGGACACATAAGGCCATCTGCTATTTTCAATGCCTTGTGCATAGGATTCTAGCATTATTGGAGCTCTCCTGCTTTGCTCTATATACCCCTCAAGCACAAAAAACAATTAACCCAACAATAATGAAGATAACCCATGATCTATGGGTCTATGTTGACACTAACTGTGTCACAGTGTATGCATTCATGTATACTGGTTTGAACAAAGTGTAAAAAACAAAAAGCAAACCCAGAGGCTTAGCCTTCAATACTATATTTGTTTGAAAGCAACCACAGTTTACTTTCAGGTTGTTTAAATTAACTTACCTCACTTTCAGATGGAATATGTCTCAGAGCCTCTTAGAAAACTAGGCTACTAAGAAAGAATAAGATCAGAAAACCTGAGTACATCAACAATTCCCTGGTTCTAAGTCAGGAAGATCATTATTGTAAGTGTTTTCTTACTGCTAGAATCTTCTTATGCTGCAGCAGTTGCTAGGGAGTTACCACACTGGGCAATATGGATGTAACTGTGCTGAATAAAAAAGCTGTTCACTGGTAGAGCACATTCCTGTCACGGTGCTGCAAAATCCCATAGTTCAGTTTATGAAAGAGAAGTTGATTATACAGATGTCTCTGAGCCAAAGTAATGAAGATCTCTGAAAAGTGGACATAGGCAACATCTTATAACCCTTGTATATGAGCTAGATGGCAGCTTAGTTCTTAACAGCACATGCAAACAAGGCAGTGGTGTATGTTTTACTTGTATGTATGTGTGCAGTATCCTTGCATATATCCTTGTCAAAAGCTTTTCCAGTTGTTCTTCCAGGACTAACTTACAAAGGGAGGAAAACAATGTTGGCTTCTGTTTGAAACTTGTGCTATGGATACTTTAATGCATGCATTTAATTTCACTTTTTGTATATGTAAACCTAGGGGGTTGGGTTTTTCCCTACTTGCAAGTGTTTTATAAAGGAAAAAACCCAAGTAAAGAAGCCCTCACGCCAGAACCTCCAGAAAAGAAAAGTCTGATTGTTTACATTAACTTTTTCCAAATATGGAAAACACATTTATTGTTAAAAAACCCAAAGCAATACACAGACCTTTTTCTCTACAGAATAGACAAACCAAACTCAGATAAGAAATAATAACCAACCGTTATGTGTACGATATACAAAAATCAATTTTGTTCCTTCCACAACGCACGAACATTTCCAATATTTACCTGGACATTTTACATCCATGAAGTAGGAGTTCGGGCTCTGCACAAGACGTTTCTTTTTGTGCTTCCTCTTCTCATCCTCTAGGGAGGGATGCGCCAGGTCTTTGGCCAGCTGGGAGGGGCAGGAGGAAAAGCGCACGGCGCGTTACGGAGCGGGCCGGGCCCGGCGCTGCCCCGGCCGCGCCTGTGCCGAGGGGCGGGAGCGCCGCGGGCTCCGGCCCCGCCGAGCGACACCGGCCGGGGCTGGGCGCCTGCAGGGGGCCCGGCCGCACGCCTGGTGGCTGTTATTAATAGAAAGCTATCTATTTTTTTTTAATTTCTCTCCACCTGAGCTGATTCTTCTTAAAAAAGGCATTAAAAAGGAGAAAGATCTCCTGCCCATTTATTTCAGTGGCTAGGTCGGCACTCGTGTGGCACGGAGCTGTAGAACTGTCAGGGGTGGAAGGCGCCTCTGGAGATCGTCCGGAGCAGGTGACACGGGAACGTGTCGCGCTGGGTTTGGAATGTCTCCAGAAAGGGAGGCTCCACGATCGCCCTGGGCAGCTGTTCCAGTGCTCCGCCACCCCGCACATAAGTTCTTCCTCATGCTGAGGTGAAACTTTTCGTGGTTTGGTTTATGGCCATTGCTCCTCGTCACATGGCTGGGCTCCACAGAAAAAGTCTGGCACAATCCTCTTGGCACTGGCCTTGAAGATATTTACATGTATTAATTAGATCGCCTCTCAGTCTTCTCTCGTCTAAACTGGCCCAGCTCCTGCTGTCTCTCCTCATTAGAGAGAAGCTCCAGACCCTCGTCATCTCTGTGGGCCTCTACAGGACCCTCTGCCTGTCTTCCTTTTCCTGAGGAACCCAGAACTGAGCATATGTTTGTTGTTTCATAGTAAATGAAACATTGCATGAAGTTGTACCCATAAGCTTATTCTTTTGCAGTTTCCCACCCCAGTCAAAAACAAAAGGCAAAAGAATTTCTGTTAGTTATCATTCATGTGCTTAAATGAATTTAGAGAACTTATGAGACATAAAAATAGTGCAGAGAGTGGGAATTTAAAGAAAAAAAATAGCTCTTTTTTTTTTTTTTTTAGTAACAGGCTGTGTGTTTTGTCCGTAAGATAGTAATCACAAATGTAATCTGTAAAATCTGTATTTATCCTGGAACATTTAAAAGTGTAGTTCAATAGAAATCCTCCTGGTGGCACAACAGACCTTACAGAAATCACTTGGTATGAAGTCTTCCCAGAAGTCCAACGGGAACATGTCAGGACATTGCCTTTTTCAGAGGGAACTGATGCATTTAAGCAAAACTTATGTGAAAAGTTTGCCATGAGCACAAGTGAGGATGTAATTTCACAGAGGCATCTTGCTCTGACAACAATATTCTCAAGGCTGGGCTTGGTCTCTCCAGTGCTATAACAACTTTCAAAATACTTTCCACCCCAAACTCTTACATTATTCTGCCAGAATAGCCCCGTGTGTTGCAGTGCTCCAAGCCATTATACTGGTTTTCCTCTCCTCTCTGTCCCAGCCGTGTAACACTGTAATGCTGTGTTAGCATTTTTTCCTTACGCACTGGTGTGGTGATGACACACAGATAGAGGTATTTTGGAAGTATTTCTTGTTGTATCATGGGGAATTTAATAGGAAGGGCTCTGACTCATACTTTCCTTTCATGCTGTCCTGTGGATCTAAGAACATAAAGCAGTTACCAGCACAGAGTCAGTTCTTGTGTTTTAAGCTGTTCCTACTACCTTCCTGTCCTTTTCAAATGCCTGTTATTTATGTGCAGGCAGAATGGAAAGAGGATAATTGCTTAAGGCTTTGATTTAGTATCTGCAGTATAGTTCTGTTTTTCTGTGTTAAATAAAATACCTTCACCACATATAAAGCACCACTTAAAATAAAATAGAACTTCTGAAGTGCCATGCTTCTTTGCCTTAGAGGTCTTTCCTGCAAAGAGCCTCTGGTGCCTGAGGAAGACTTTAGAGTCACATTAGAAATTGGCTTCCATGGAAGGAAGGGCACACAGGATGATCTGAAAACAGGATGTGTTTTGGACACATTCCTCTGGTTCTCTATTTTGGTTTTGCTTGTAGATTCATTTCCTTTTTGTAACAGCTTATAGTTCAGTGACCTGCTGTATGAGTAAAGTCTAATGGATTACCTTTAATCTTACAATTTAAGCTTTTTATGAAATGTACTCTTAAGAAAACAGGAATGCAGCACTGAATTTAAGTGTCAGTTAGCAAGGAGAGAAATGCTGTCTGTACAACAGTGGTTTGGCCTACTGAGACACAGATTCAGGTCTAAGAGAACAACTTCCTCTCTCCAGACTTCTCCCAGCAAGCAAGGACTTTGATCTCATTTTAGAAAAAAAAAACCCTTTATCTGTTTGCTGGAATGACAACAGAAAAACTCCCAAAGCTGATCTGGAAATGTTTTAAAACAACATAATGACAGTTGGGTGTTCTCCTGCATTGCGAGTGTCAGTCTCACGTGTTGGAAAGCTGAGCCTGTGTCTCTGAGGTCAGGCATTGTACTGGGTTCCTGCTGGGCTGGGACAGCCTACAAACCCTCCCTGTGCACCTGCTGCCCCTGCTACTGCTTTCTTCTGCTCCATTTGGGCTCTTCTGCACCTGAATTTGGGCAGCTCCTTAGGATTTGCTATCTGACAGCTTTTGGGTGGTTTTAGTACAGAACCTTGTATGAATTTCCTGTGGTCAGTGACAAAGTGTGTAATGACTGATTTTAAAAACCTAAATTCACCCTACTAATGCTTATAGTGTTGTCTAGAATACTAAAATGGGGGTGGGTATCTCTGTAATACTATTGTTAAGAGCATTTAGATTTCTTTTTGCTAACCACCTTTAAGCTGCACTCAAAATAAGTCCACTGCAAGGGGCATGTTTGATCCAGAATGTGGCCTGTCTGTCATTTTGCCTATACTGCAGAATTAGTCTTGATTGTAAACTAATGAATGGTGTAAACTGTGGCGTGTAAACTGTGGCATGTAATAATTTGGGTTAAACATGACTGTGCTCAGATAGTTTAGATTAGCAGTGGAAATTGAAGAAAGTAGACTTTTAGCACTATTGTAACAGCAAACTTTGAAATTAATGGATTTATAGATAAGAATTTTGCAGTGTCTTTTCCTTCTGGAATTGAACTGTATATACTTTGTGTAATTTTTTTTTCCTAGTACTAACTTCATGCAACCTCTTCTGTATAAAGTTCTGCAGTATATACACATGGAAAATTCATACATTTAGATCACTACAGTAAAGGAGAGTACTGTTCTTTGTATATTAAACCAATGCATTGATCTTAAAACTAGGAGTTAAAAGCAGGACATGTCAACCTATCAAATGCAGGAAGACAAATGCAGGAAGTGTAGAATGAGCATGGAAGTATCTACCTTCTAGTGAAATAAGTGAAAGACTTATTTACTGGAAACAGGTAATAAGTGACTTTTTTTAAAGGATGGTTATCTACAGTAATGAATTCCAGAGGCACCTGCCCAAGTCAGAGTTGTTAGAGATACACATCGAAAATATTATTATATTGGGTAGCAGAGTTCAACAGCTATGGAGCAAAGCTCATGTTAATGACTTGTGGTTAGGTGGCATTCAGGGCAGGACTGCCTCATAAGATTATTGTTGGTAGGACTTGGACCTGTTGATTCCAATTAGTACCAAAATAACAGGATCTTAGTTCTACCAACATGTTTTAAACTCTGTTGGTTTTTTAAACCTTGTACTTAGGCAATTAAGATGCAGAATTTTCTACAATTTTGTATGTATTGAGAAGGGCTTCATTGAAAACAGATTTTCACACAGTTGTCTTTTTACCTAACCTTTGAAATAAAGGAGGAAAAAGGATCTTTGAAAGCTAGAAGTAATGACGTCTATCATTTGAGAAATTAAAATGAGAGTGAGAACAAAGTAGCAATATAATCTGGATTTTTTCTTTAAAATGTAGATGCTGGTAAGGAAGTGCTTTCTGGCTTTTTTAATGTACATGTAAAGAATTTTGAACTTAGTGCATATAGGTAGAGGTCATCATTACACTTTGCTGTTCCTATGAGTTCCTTTCTTGAACTGAGGGCTTTAACAGATGCACTTTACCTACACCCCAGTGACTAATGGAATTCTGCCATACCTTGATTGGGACTCACCTGTTTATTGGATGAGTTTGAACTATGGTACTGATCTTTTATGACCAGATGACCTGCCTGTGGGTGAAGGAAAGGCTGTGCAGCCTGCCTGGACTTCAGTAGGCTTTGGCACTGCCTCCCACAGCAGTGTCCTGGAGAGGAGGCAGCCCATGGCTTGGACAGGTGCCCTCTTTGCTGGGCTAAAAACTGTCTGCATGTCTGGGCCCGGAGCATGGTGGTGGATGGTGCCACATCCAGTTGGGACCAGTCACTAGTGCTGTTTCCCAGGGATGAGTACTGGGCCCTTTTTGAGGTCTTTACTGACGATGTGGATGACAGCTTTGAGGGCACCCTTAGGAAGTTCATGGATGACACGCAGTTGGGACCAGTCACTAGTGCTGTTTCCCAGGGATGAGTACTGGGCCCAGTCCTTTTTGAGGTCTTTACTGATGATGTGGATGACAGCTTTGAGGGCTTCATGGACGACAAGAAGCTGGATGGGAGTGTTGATCTGCTGGAGGCCAAAAAGGCTCTGCAGAGGGAACAGGACAGGCTGGATCTGGGTGCCAAAGGCAACTGTGTGAGGTTCAACAAGGCCAAGAGCTGGGTCCTGTCCCCAGGTCACAACAAGCCCCTGCAGCACTACAGGCTGGGGCAGAGGGGCTGGAAAGCTGCCCAGCAGAGAAGAACCTGGCAGAGCCTGGTGACAGGGCCTCAACACGAGCCCAGGTGTGCACAAAGGCCACTGGCACCTGGGCTGTACCAGCAATGCTGTGCCCACCACGACCAGGGCAGTGACCATGGCCATGTGCTGGGGGGCACATCCAGGGCTCCTCAGTTCAGGAGGGACAGTGGAGTGCTGGAATGAGTCCAAAGCAGGACAGCAGAGCTGGGAAGGGTCTGGAGCACAAGTCTGATGAGGAGCAGGTGAGGGAGCTGGGGGTGTTTGGCCTGGAGAAAAGGAGGCTCAGGGGTGACCTTATCACTCTCTACAGCTACTGAAAGGAGGGTGTAGTAGGGTGGGGATCAGGC